GGGGGGGGGTGCAGGGGCATATGTTGCGGAGCCGCGCGCCTTGGGGAGCCCGGCGTACGCCTTCGTTTTGGTGGTGGGCTTGCCGCCCGGGATCGGGTCCGTCAGCGTCGTGGGAGCCCCCACGGCAAGCTTGAAGTTGCGGGTCGCGGCGCCGGCGACGGAGGTCGGGTCGCCCTCCTTTGAATACGCGTACGCCGCAAGGCCGAGCGCAGAGGCGCAGCTGCCGAGGAAGATCATGTTGAGGGTGTAGAGATCGGGGTCCTCCCACACCGTCGCGTTGGCGCACGACGAGTTCGTCGAGTTCTCGTCCACCGTGCACCACAGGTAGACTGGCGGCGGCGGCGGCTCGGGCGACGGCGGCGGCGGCGGAGGAGGGTTGGGTTGCGGCGGCGGAGGAGCGACGCAGTACGAGTAGTCCACCTTGCGGCCGCGGTACCAGCAGGCCGGTTCGGGAGGCGGTTTGGGCGGAGACGGCGGTGGCGGGCTTGGCGGAGGCGAGGGCGCGGTCCACGGCGGTGGCGGCGGCACGTCAAAAGAGGCCGCAGCGATGCCGTCGAACTCGCGCTCGACCGCGGTCGCCGGGTCGTACGAGTATGTGGCCTGCCCGCTGCCGAACGGGTTCCAGATCTGGCCGGCGACGCCCGATAGGAGGGCGGCTGCTGACAGGATCCTCATTGCTAAGACGACTCTCTCCTTAGCAACCCGCCGCGTTTTGACTTTTGAGAAAAGAAAATCCTGCGCGCCCGAGGCCATGTGTGTGGCGGCGGCGTGCCGTCCTCCCATCCCTCCCTTAGTTTGTCGGCTTTCTTTCTTTCTTTCTTTGCCATGGCCGGAGGGCCCCGGGTGAGGCTTGGGGTCAGTTGTCGGAGGAGGTGAGAGATGAGCTGACTCGGCCTCTGCGAGTGGAGTCGTGCGAGGACTGCGTCGAGGAGGCCGGCTCTCGCGCCGGCCGCCGCGCGCCAAGCAAGCCGTCCGACGTGAGAGAGCCCAGTGAGTCGAGCATCTGCGACGAAATCATGTTGCGCGAGGTGCCTCCGGCCGCGACGCGGGGGCAAGAATATCGTTACACGACTTACGCGGATTCCCGAATCCCCTCTGCGCTGTGAGAGCCGGCGTCGTTAAGGTCATTCACGGGTGTCCGCGGCCCACTGTGCCCGCTGGTAGGACAATGACCGCCGCAAACCCTGTGGTGAGCTCCATATGATCTCGGATATTTTTTGTAGGCACCGGAACACCAAAAAACTACTTTGTCTTCGAGTGAAAAGTAGTCCGAGAAAGCCCGCGGCCGCAGTGAATTAAAAGGCGCGGTTTTCGAGGGGGAATCTGGAGAATCTGGGAATCGGCTCACCACGGATCCCCACCTCATCGAAAAACTTTTCACTCCAAGACAAAGTACTTTTTTAAGGTGCTCTACAAGCTAGGCACAAAAGATATGGCATTGCAGGCCATTTAGGGCCCCTAGACGGTCACTGAGTAGGCCAAAATCCCCACTGGGCCGGGAGCAACCTTAATCCGACATACTCTTAAATGTGCGAGTGTGGCGCGCGGACTCCGACTTCGGACTTGCGCTCTGCGCGGTGGCCGGTGCTCTCCCGGCCTCTCGAAGCTCGCGGGACCTCGGGGTGCGCTGCGCGCGTGCGGGAGTGTGGGAGCGGAAAACGAAGAGTCCGAGCGACCGCCGCCCCACACACATACACAGTGTACTTACTCAAAACGACCTCTCCCTCTAGCGTACAGTGTAGAGGCGCGCCCGCGAAGCCGAAGCCTTAGCAGCCCCTGCCAAGCATCTCGCACATCTCCTCCGCCTTGAGCCGGTTGAGCTCCTTCCTCTCCTTGTCTGTCAGCCCGCCTCCGCCGAGATCGCCCTTCTTCTTCAGCTCCTGCAGCACACAGTGGCAGGGGTCAGTGCAGCGCAGAGGCGCGGTGGCTGGCAGGCCGCTGGCCACCTCGAT